CCTTAAAGAGATATGGGGTTCGGTGCAACAGTATTAGTAGTGAGATTTACAGCTTAATGCTGAATTTTTAACGCACGTTGGCTAAAAAACTCCTACAAACAGAAAATAAGTCTTAAATTTCAAGGATATTGTCAGGGAATTTTGTAAAAATAAAAAATAAATGTGTGACGTGGGCAGCGATCTATTTTTCGCTGGGGGGCGAATTATTTTCAAAAGAGTTACATAAAAAAAAAAAAAAAAAAAAAAAAAAAAAAAAAAAAAAAAAACCCGAGAGACAAACTTAAGTAAAGAACTTCTTTGGCCGTGTCTTCAGGAGTTAGAGCATAAACAGTTGGATAGAATAGAAAAGTAGATAAACACCTACAGAAATAGTTGGAGCGAAAAAACTTGTGCAAACGAGAGCTTCATTGGTGAAATTTTGCGTGTTCCTGAAAGTGCATTTCCGCGTTTTTTATATCCTACTCTATGATGTAAGATCATTAGAGGAGCGCGTAACACATGACGCCTGATTTTTGGCACTTTGCCTGGAAAATGGTAGCGAAATTCTGAATCAAAGAACCGTGCTTCCATAAAATTCTACCCAGAACTTGATTGAACCACTGAATATCCCTTCTGAAACTCATTAACAGCTTTCTAAGTCGACGCCGGGAAAGATAAATAGACTTTAATGTCTAGAATAAAAAGCAAGAGATCTGAGTCTTTAATTTCCTCAATACTCAGGCTCCTGGCTTGCTAAAGAAAAAAGACGTATGCGCATACGAAAGTTGTCAGATTTTCCCTGAGAAAATATGTTTTTCGGTTAAATTCTAAATATTTTTCCTTGAAATTTTCAAATACTATACATAAAACTGCGGATCAAAATCTCTGACAGCGTGTCAACTAAAATTTATTTTTGGATTTTCCTAACGTTCTGACGATTTTTCCTGGTATTCTAAATAAAATTTCCTGATTTTTTGAGCGAATTAATTGACACTCGTTTGACTTTGCGAACCAAAATATTTAATGAATTGAATCAAATTTACAACTTTTTTTAGCAATGGTCTGCAAGAAGTTGGGAAACGCATCAAGATTTTCTAATTCATGATTGATCTTTCTGATAATTTTCCTGGTGACGACTAATTTCCTACTATTTTCCGGAACTGCATGAAGTTGAAAGATGCTTGATACATCCGGAATTTCCCGATCCATGACCGATTTTTCTGATATTTTCTTGATGACATCTAATTTCAAACTATTATCCGGAACTGCTGAAGTTGGGAAATGCTTGACACACTCGGAATTTTCTTATCCATGACCAATTTTTCTGATTTTGTCCTGATGACATCTAATTTCCAACTATTTTCCGGTACGGCATGATGAACTGCATGAAGTTGGGAAACGCTTGACACACTCTGAATTATCTTATCCATGACTGACTTTCTTACATATTCCTGATGATATCGAAGTTACTACTTTTTTCCAGTTTTTAATGACGGTCGAAACCCTGCCTGAAAATTGGGAAGAGGACTATCAGAATTGCCGCAGCATTTTGGGAGATGAAATTCCCGGACTGTTGAAGATATGCCAGATCGTTAAAAAGACATAATTTGAAATAGTTTTCAGGCAAACTTTGTAGTTCAAAATGTCAAGCCCATTCTCAAAGGCAGATAAAGGTATATTAACAATTTTTCCCTAACACTTTCGTAATTTTTCCTGACAGTTCCATCATTTTCCCTGACGTTTCCGGGTTTTTCCTGACTTTTTAAAATTCTCTGACATTTCCCGGTTTTCCCTGACTGTGGCAACCCTAGAATATCACTAGCAAAAAAACCACATTGGATCTAGAGTTCAGACTCTTGAAAACATTGACAAGCAAAAATACTCTTGATTCAATCAGATTTAAGCTTAAATCAAAAGGAAATCCGCTCAAATTAAGAGGCTTGGTTCTTGATTTAAGCAAAAATCCGATTGAATCAAGAGTATTTTTTCCCGCCAATATTTTCAAGAGTCTGGACTCTAGATCCAATGTGTTTTTTTTCCAGTGTGAAGGTATATTAACAATTTTTCCCTGAAACTTTCGTAATTTTTCCTGACAGTTCCACCATTTCCTCTGACGTTTCCGGGTTTTCCCTGACATTTCCCGGTATTCCCTGACTGTGGCAACCCTGGAATACTGATGAGGTTTTCAGGAAATTGGTATCTTATCGAACGAAATTTAGCAACGCCTCAAGGTCCGTACGCTGTTTTTTTTCTGAACAAGGCAGTATCGCAATGTCTTTAAACTAAGCTCATTTCCCTACGGTCGGCGTCGGTCGAGTGGCTGGCAGCTGGCAGGACAAAACCCCGGGCCGGTGAGTCGGTGACGAGGGAACATCGGTCCCCCGGGCCGGATGATCCTGTCCTCATCAAGGAAGCCGGCCGGCCGCGGCGGCGCGGCGCGAGAATGAGAATCCGTGCCGCTATTTAACTGGTTCTGGCCGAGACCGTGGTCCCGTCTCATCTCATCACTCGCGGATTCCGTTCGTTAGCGTCGTTTAGAGCGCATTATCATACTTAGCGGCCACCTCTGGCTTCGCGCTTCCTCCTGGACACTGGATCGGATGCTACGGCCCACAGTGGATCGAGTCAATTGGACAGGTCGGACATGAAATCTTTGACTAAGACTGCAAATTTTAATGTTTATTTCGTCACATTTTGAATATCAAGGTGTGCTTTTAAAGGAAAATTTCGGGGGGAAATCAATGGAGCCATTTTCAGAACCTCAAAGTTGTGTATAGACGGAGTAATCAGCATGTAAAGTTCCCAAATTTTGTCCGACCTCTTCTATCGACTCGATCCACCGTGCGGCCGCTCGAGTCGCTCCTGAGAATGAATGGAAATTAGGTTGCTCTCCGAACAGAGCACCTGTAACGTCCTGGCTTCTGCCATTTGGACCGCGTTAAACAGAAAGGAACCAAGCCAAATCAGCTATTGCCAAGTTTAATTGGGCAATTTAATTTTTTACGAGAGAATGTTTGTGTGGATTCCTTTGAAAATTTTAGGGAATTTGCTTTGTATTATGGAGAAAATTCACTGAAATTAGCACAAAAATCCGCACAAGAGTTTCCATGTAAAAAATTAAATTGCCCGATTAAATTTGGCAATAGCTGATGTGGCTTGGTTCCTTTCTGTTAAACGCTGTCCATTTAATCGCCTGATTCTTCGAAATTTCCCGTTTCGTAGTTAAAATACTTTTGATCGCCGTTACTGATGATACGGATTCCGGTTTCGTTCTAAAAAACGTCTCCGTGTGGCTCAATCACCTTCCTGCCTGATATACCATGCAGAGGACTCGCAGGCTAATCAGGAAAGGCACAAGTTCTCTAGACTAAAAGATATCAGATGATCATGATTAGAGTATCTATATATAGGATAGGGAGAATACGGACGTGTCGAATATTAAAATCTTAACGCTCAAAAGAGCAGCCAACCTTCCGACTCAAAATATGTCACTGCCGATCTTCAGATTTCAGTGTAAAATTAAAATTGCGAAGAATGTTCAGAACAGAGCATCCTCCCGCAAAAATGAATGAATTTATGCAAAAACTAAGCCAAATCCGTGCTTTAAAAAAACCATGGGCCGTAACAATTGTAAAAATAAATCACTCAGGAAAATTTGAATTCATAGGTTGACTGCTCTTTTGGGCCCTAAAAGCTCCATGGCCTGACCTCAAAATTACCGTCATGTCCGTACTCTCCCTATAATGGTACTCTACCTAGCCCTAGACAGACCCCATGATTCAAACGATAACATGGCAACGCCGGTGAGAAGCGATCGTGCAAGACGCTTAAGTTTGATCGCTTAAGTCAGCTAAAGTTTCTGAAAAAAATAAGGAGTCTATTCTGCCAGATGATGTGGCGCCTTTCCACAGATCCGGTCACAGTTTTCAACGTTACGACGTACATAGGTTTTTTCGTCTGTACGACGACATCATGTGAACATTCCGAAACTATTCCAAAATTCCACGTATATACTTCTTGAAAACTCACGTAGATGAACGTCTCCTGTGAAAACACGTTCAATTATGAAAAAGTGAGACAACTTTGCCTAAGAGACGGTTTTACTCGCGCGAGGCGGGCGGCCAAAACGGGAGCAGAGGTGAGTCGGAGGCGCGCGACTCGACCGGTAGAATGACGTCGAGGACGGTTATTAAAAGATGTAGTCCATAAAACGGATAAACAAAGCGCCATAAACGTGTCATTACGCGTCGTATGAGGAGCAACGCTGCTGCACAATATAAAAACACCGTATGAGCCTTCGGACGATGCCAAATCTTGTTTGATAAAAAATGAATTTTCTTGGAAACTAAACTTGTGCACTGAGAAACAAAGTTCGGTCATAAGAGTCGTAAATACGATGGTCAATGTGGTCCTCACTGAGCGATTCATGTAAAACCACTGTCTCGATTCTGGAATAACCACATCTTCGATTTATACAACCGAGCTTTGTCTATTGTTCGGTTTGATTGGAACTCGACAGTACGGCCGATACTGAACACAGTATTCACGCACTGGAAAGAGAAGTCACATGGATCCGGACTCTAGTGAAAAATTTGACGTGAAAAAATACACTTGACCCATCGGATTTTTGCTTGAATTCAGAGCCAAGTCTCCCAATTTGAGCGGATTTCCTTTCGATTCAAACACAAATCCAATTAAATCAAGAGTATTTTTTCTTGTCAAATTTTTTTAGAGTCTGGATTCTATAGATCCAATAGATTTTTGTTCCAGTGCGGTGCATATGACCGAGCTTTTTTTCTCAGATGGGATAATTTGGGTCGTATTCAAGGTTCGATTTTCGGAGAATTTCATTTGCAAATTGATCTGTAGTACCTGAATTTCAAGGGGGAAAGTACGAGATATTTCTCGAAAACAAATTTTTTTAGGGGGGAATATGGCAACATTCGAAAGTTCAAACGGAGTCCTTCCTTGGCTTGGCAGGGCAAGAGGATGGGTCGTAGAAGTTATGAGTTGGCGCTCACCTGAATTTCGTGGAGGAGCTCTTGTTCGTCGAGGAGGACCACTTTGCAGTGGTGCGTCTGCGATTTCGTGCACAGGCACCTCATCTGCAACAAGCAAAAAAAATAAAACATGATGAAAAAAGGAAAAATATGCACAAGTTACAAAGCACGAAAAAACGTCCACGTAAGGGTACATGAATCGGGTCATGAGAAAACGTCCGAAAGAGTGGACGATTTTGCTGCGACTCAAGGAAACAATATGATTTAAGACGTTAGGAATGTAGAACAATTTTATAAATAGTCTATTAAGTATGATTAAACGTTTACAAAAGAGTTTGATCTTATTCATCAAAGTTGTGGGACAGAAAAACCGCTGCAATTATGAAACCCTATATTGGACAACGGACATTTTTGCATGAGTCGATTCAAATATTGGAAACGGGTAAAAAATATGGTAAAATTAGGCAAAAATTCTATAAAACTTTAGTAATGCAAGGCGGTCCGAGCCATCATATCTATGGCTGAGGGGCGAAACTAAGTAGCTCTATTGCATTGCTTTAAAATGTCCCCTCCTAATTATTTCTTTCGAAGACGCACAAACCAACTAGTGCGATATATCGTGTTTGTTGAATCATACTTTTTCGTGATAACTTATGTGAAACGAAAAACTCTTCTCTGTTCAGATAAGAGTTCGAGTCAAAACCCAGAGTTTGGCACACCTTACCGTGTAATCGCTTCTTGTTTTACCGGTTGTGAATATAATTAGTTAAGAATGTAATTCGCTATATTTTGTATATGGGATCTGATATCCTCTCACTTGAATCTAATGGAAATCAAATCATAATTGGGATCAGGTTAGAATATGCGATGAAAAATTACTTTAATTTTTGGCGTCCGAAAGGAAATGCAGATTACGCTCCGAGGAAGAACATATAATTTGCGAAAATCACAACTATAATTATCCTTTTGTTTTCAGCCTAAAATGATCCTGCCGGTACCTGAATAATGGATCGTTCCTTAGCTCCTCGTCCGAAACCACACCTCAAGCAATTCAATTTGAATAAATCTCGACCGCCCAATGAATCGATGAAACACCTCGAGGAGGATTTTGAATAATGTTAGGCCTCTGTCAAGCGACCGATTGGGGTTGCCGCGTTAAGGCGTATCTGGAGCAGTTTCCGGTAACAATCCAACAGTGGTTAGAATACTGAAAATAGTCAATTTTCAGGGACCATCTGGCACAGAAATAAGACTCATCGCCTGATATTTTTGAGAAATGTCCTGAAATCGTTCCCTCGCCGAGATTCCGGGGCCAAAATTATGGGGCGTTAGTCTGGGATTGAGAGACGATAATTTCCCTAATACGTCGGCTCCAATACCTCAACCGCTGTCAAATGTGCAGACGAGAAATATGAGTCATTTTTCAGTGGGTTCGTAAGGTTTAACATTGTAAGCATCGACACAATCAGACAACGCTAGATACGATACACCTAGAGAGTTTGAAAGCCCGCTAAATCTAATTACACTGGTCATTCACACTACTGCCAGATCTATTAGATAATTTGAAGATTTAACCTGCGTCATTGGGAAACAGGTCTCCTCTGAGCTGTTCTGGTCCAAAATTTCATTAAACCAAGATCAATTTTTCCGGGGGAAAATGCTAGGAATTTATTCAGTAAATAAAAAAAGCAGTTAGATCAGGGAACTAGGTCCCATAGAGACCATTATGATAAAAATTTACGGTACCTATACTTCCTCTATCCGGAAGGGGAGCGAGAAAGTAAACATGTGGCAACTCTGAGCGGGAGAGGGTTTTTATTAATCTTGTCACAGAATAAGTAAGGCCTTAGAAGATCCTTTCGCCAGCAATGTAAATATATCGTTTCAAAAATTGAGTAAGTACGCCTAAGTATAGGCAGGGGTGCAGATGTTCATGAACCATGGGCCAATTGCTTGTTTGCGAACTGCGTATAGGCAGTGGGAAAATAGTGTAGGCTGCGACTTTGATAATCAATTAAGTAAAATTTACGACGTTTTGACCAAAATTCGATTTTCGATTTGATTCTATATTTTTGCGTATTCCTTCCAATTTTGGGTACACGCGCTGCCTTACACATTTCCAAGTAGCGTATGCATCTCGGAACTTTGCTCGATTCGCAAGTCGAGAGCTGAAAGTAAGGCTAAAGTAAAGGTGAATGGGGCGAAATGCGTGATACAACTATTTCAACTTCCAAGTAGGTAAAATTGCATAACCACGCAATGAAGGAGATAGTGAACTCTTTTCGGCTGACTCATTGTCAGATACTTAAACGCAGTGTATGGAGAGTCGAATGAGGGCAAAACACGTGATACAACTATTTGAACTTCCGAGTAGGTAAAATTGCACATCCACGCAATGAAGGAGAAAGTGAACTTTTTTCGGCTGACTCAGAGACTTTAACGCAGTGTATGGAAAGTCAAATGGGGGCAGAGCACGTGATCAAACTAATTTGACTTCCGAGAGGATAAAATTGCAAATCCACGAAGTGAAGGAGGGCATGAACTCCTTTCGGCTGACTCAGAGACTTCGACGCAGAGTAGACATACTGGATGAAGAGTTGAAAAGTTGCAAGTTTGCAATCGTTGCTAAACGTAAAACACGGATGAAACTAAAGTGGAAGGAACCATGGCAAGCACTACCGTAGTTCATGACGTTATACGCCGTGCATTTGATGAGCGATGTATCCGTAACTTTTGGACACAGAAATCCGGCATACGGACGGATTTCTTTAATTTTTGAGCCCTAAGTAATCAAAACCCGATTCTACGACTAGCGCAACTAACTCATTGCCGCAAATCTCCTCTCAACCCCCTCCTTCCCCCGCTCCTGAGTGTTACGTGGACGTATTTGTGCTAAAAGGAACTATGTTGCACGAAACCTCTCTACATAAAATTAATTCCTTTTAGCATAAAAACATTCACGTATTTTATAAACTGCGCATTCCTACAACCTATTTCTTTCTCGTGGAACATGTCCAAGTCAAGGCGGCAACAAGGCCAAGATCTCCGATTTGGGTGCCGGGCTCGGACCTTCCCCAAGGTCACCCCCGCCCCCTCCCCCACGGAAAAGGGCCCCAGACACCGAATCGACCCACCGCCCCGGGCACAC